TATGTATTAGTAAGTAGATACATGCCATGTTAGGGAGGGACGAAGAAGGTGTCCCTGAAGAGGTGACTTTTTCTATCTTACTCAGAATAAAATGCAAACTTCTTGCAAGTCACACGAGGCAGAATCTGATCCCTGGCTCCAGCCTCTTATCTCCTCCCTACTCATTCTGAACCAGCCATGCTGGCCTTCTTTTTGGTTTTTAGAGATGCCAGTATTTCCTTGGAGGATTTTTAAATTTGCTCTGTCTGCCTGAGCCTTTCTTCTGCCAGAATGTCCTGTGGCTGTTTCCCTCACCCTATCCAAATTTTTATTAAAATATCAGCTCATCATGGAGACATCTCTTGACCACCATAAATTCCCTCTACCCTATTAAACCTGCCTTTTACACACACACACACACACACACACACACACACACACACCCCATTCTGTTTTGTCACCCTGTTTATTTATCGTGTATTTACTGCTTGTCTTCCACACTGGAATGTGTGTATACGCCACAAGGACAGTTGTTAAAGTTTGCACACACATTCTCAGTAATCAGCCATGCCTTGCTCATGAGTTACAGTCAGGCCGGGACACGTGAGGCACAGAAGCCCTCCCATCTGTGTTCTTCCTTCAGCAATAACTGTGGCCCTCTGCATAACAGCACCTATGCCACTGCCTTGTATTAGCATTAACTCATTATTTCAACTTTGTGTGTGTGCATTAGACTCAACCAGATTTAAGATTGCTATATGTCAAAACCCTCATTAAAGATCAATCACGGTGTCACACACATAGTGGTGCTTAACTACTCTTTTTCAAGTGAATAAATGACAACATATTAAGTAACTTGGTGGCTGTATTTGGGACTTTAAAGAGCAGGGAAAGTCCTGTCTCTCAATAGCAGATTGTGTTGAAACCCCCATTAACATAAATGAAACTTTTTTAGTTCTAAGGCTCTGTGATCATGGATTCAGAGTAAGCTAATGGATCCTGGCTGGGAACTCATAAGTTTTACCTGAGAATACCTTATATTCGTGCAGCCCTTGACAGTTGTTAAAGTTTGCACACACATTCTCAGTAATCAGGTAGTATTTTCAAAGATAGAAGGGGCTCTGAGGAGTTCCCTGATCTATTTCACCTCTCCTTTGGGGCAACCTGAACAATTTAGGTTGATTTCCAGAGAAATAAGTCCCCCAGCTCCCCTCGGGTTCAGATCTGATAATTTTCTCAGTTACTGAGAGTCCTCTTACTGCTATTTAAATCTGTCTGCTCTGATTCTATCTTTAGTAGGTATTTAGATAAGACCTGAGGAGTTAATGTTTTCCTGGCAAAACCTGAAGGAACACTTTGCTATTCTTTCCCTTCTTTTATGAAGACTGGAGAACTGCTTAGCACTAAAACAGTCAGATTGATCTACTTTAATGAAGGGGCCCTGTCCACGGTGGATGCAAATATCTCACTGATGCTTCTATTTAGTCTGAATACATAACAAGGCCAGGAAAATGTCTGTTAGAGACGCAATCCGTTTAAAATAGTCCTGCTGCAGTGACAAGTTTCCAATGAGCCACAAGGGTTGAGCTGGGAGCAGTCCAAAGACTTGATTAGTCATGAAGGCCCTACAACCACACTGTGTCCAAGGGGAGGGTGGTATTTCTTCCTTTGACAGATACTACTTATAACAACTGGGGCAGCATCATAAATGGCAATGGGGAAAATATTCCAAAGCTAAGGCTAAAATAGCAAACATAGGGAGTGTTGGGAAATGAAAGAACCTTTCGGGACAGCATGGCGCTGGCAGTGGAAGGCAATCGTTTTTCTACTGTGGAAAGGAAAAAGGAGCCGTACAGGGAACAGGGCCAGCCCCACGCAGAGGCACATAGTACCAAATGTCCAGCCGGACTGCCTATCATCACTCTGTCTGCCAAAGTGGTGATTTCCCAGAATTGTATTCCTTCCTTTGGACTGTCATGGACAGGCACTGGTAAGATGTGGGATGTGTTAACAAACTGACACAGCAGCAGCCATTTCCACCATTAGTTCACACTAGTATTTAAGAAGCTGGTTTCTGGGCACGGTGGCTCATGGATGTAATCCCAGCACTTTGGGAGGCTGAGGCGGGCGGATCACAAGGTCAGGAGATTGACACCATCCTGGCTAACATAGTGAAACTCCGTCTCTACTAAAAATACAAAAATTAGCTGGGCGTGGTTGTGCATGCCTGTAATCCCAGCTACTCAGGAGGTTGAGGCAAGAGAATGGCTTGAACCAGAGAGTCGGAGGTTGTAGTGAGCTGAGCTCACACTACTGCACCCCAGCCTGGCGACAAAGCAAGACTCTGTCTCAAAAAAAAAAAAAAAAAGGAAGTTGGCAGAGAACATTCCTTGAAGCAATAGGCCAAGAGGATTTAATAGTAAGGACAGAAAATGTCTGGAACAAGGAACACAGTCTAGAAGACAGAGATGAGTATAGTTATTAGGACACTTCACTTGGAGGAGACACCAAAAGGAGGCAGAAGTTTGGGGGTGGCTGCATTAGGGACACACAAGGCCAGTTTTGCTGATACCAACAGTTTCTTAGAGATGGATCTGTTGAGAGTTTCTTCAATCAAATTAAGAGAAACATAGAAACGTCTGTAAATGACCTAGGATAGGTGACCTCCTCTTCGCTCCTCATCACTATTGTTCCACTTCCTTTGACCCTTGCTCCTTTTCTCTGAGAGATTCACATTATTTGAACGACCAAAGGGCAAAGGACAAGGTCCACGGCACCCCTCAGCTTGTGAGGCACAAAAATATTTAAGGATCTCCACTGCACAGTATCTGCCTTGCTAATTAAATTAGCTCATGGATGTGATGTATGTTATTCAGCTCTCTGCTTCCAAAATTATCAAAAAGCCATATGGCTGTTTATTTAGCAAGGTCACAAATATTGGGTACCATCATCATAACTATTTGAAAGAAATCCAACTTTATATCAACCCCAAGGTGGTGGGGAGCTGGTAGTCACTGAAAAAAACGACAAGATGAGCTCACAAGTATTGAGAAGGTGTTTGATGGGTATGTTTGGCCCCAAATAAAATATAGTTACAAGACTCTGCCTTTTCACTATTTTAGTAACATCTAGCTCAGCCAGTAGTTTCAAATCTCTTCATTTTCTTCAAATTTTGACTTAGTAACATACAGATGAGAATTTGGGATTTTTTTTTTTTTTAAGTAAGAATCCTCACTTTGCTATATTGATCAAGCAAAGTGAGGTCCTTTTGATTGCCTGATGAATTATGAAACAAAACCAGATCGAATCACAAGCTCTGGACTTACTGTAGCAAAAGGCAATGAAAGGCGCATCAACCTCAGATTTCCATCCTAGCTGTGCTTCCTATGAGTTCAGTGGTCTCAGGCACATCACTTATCCTCTCTGAGCTTTTGTATTTTTTTATTTGTAAAAATCAGCATTATAGTAGTTATCTAAAGAAGGCTGTGTGAATTAAATGAGCCCATACCTGAGAAACATGCTTTGTACAATATGAAGTACCATTTCTTTAAAAAAAAAAAAAAAAAAAAAACCAGAAATATTCACTACATGAGTGTCTCAAATTAACATTCATGGGATAGGCTGGGTATGGTGGCTCACGCCTGTAATCCAAGCACTTTGGAGGCCAAGGTGGGCAGATCACCTGAGGTCGGGAGTTCAAGACCAGCCTGACCAACATGGCGAAACCCCGTCTTTATAAATAATAATAATAATAATAAATAAATGAATAAAAACATTCATGGGACATTGAGAAGGTGAAGACTTTGACAAGAAAAAGTTAAGAGGAGGAAGTTTCCTGAGAGGTCAGACTTATTTTATGTAGTTCTGGTCCTGAACTCTAAATGAGCTCTGAGCTGTGGTCTGTAAGTCAGTCAGTCATCAGTATTTTACTGAGCACAAAATTTAAGCTGAAATTAGTTCTTTTTTCTGGAGATTGGGGCTTGTGGCAGAGGCAGCATTCATGGACTGAGTTGTTTTTCTGAGTTGGTCATCTTGTGAGTGTTAAGACAATGGAATGGTGGGCAAGAGTAGGGATAGGAGAAAGTCTGTGAGGGGACTTTTGAGGAATCTTGATATATTA